TGACGATGAGTGTTATCATCAATGATTCAACGTATATGGTAATGGTCGCGAACTACTAGACAGAGTATAATTTTAGTGCGTTTATTCTTAAGTAAAATAAAACGAAACGAGGAATAAAAGTCATTTTAAAGTATGAGAGTATGCTAGTTAATTGATAATGTTCAATAGTTTCGGTGATGATTAACGGCTTTATTGAACTTTTCATGCACGTAACGCGTCTAGTCTTTTTTCTCACGGCTCTAAAAGAGCTTGCTGCCACGATAATACCGATCACCAGGAGTGTACGACAAATACTATTACCAGATCGATCGGGACCATTGCAAACATTACTAATGACGCGATGAGTATCGGGATCAACAGTGACAGAACCATAACTACAACCACATTTTTCTTGACCTTTACCAGTGAGACTAGCCCAAAAGCTATAACAAACAACACAATGGCCACTCTCAGGATCATCATGACCGCAACAATCGAAAGAAGTAGTACAGACTTCACCAAGACGAGCACAACCACGTTTGTTCACAGATCGATCAGATTTTTTCCCTATTAGTGCATTGCAATGCACAGCTAAAAATACCAAGATACACATAAAGTAAGTGATATTCTTGATGTTATTCATTTTGCTGTTGTCGATTGACGAAAAGATACTAGTGTACGTATGAGGTAAAAAATATGTATTGTGATTATGGTTTTATTCAAGTAGTACTGCTCGTATATAAGCAACCATTATTCTATAGAAAATATACGAAAAAATTACTTTGTATTCATAACGCAGAGTGAAGCAACAGTAAGTGCCTACAGGTTATTTGCGAACGGAGAATAATTGTACACTCAAAGCATAATTGTTCTTTTCTTCGTTTGAAAGCAAATAGATTCTAGTTTGTATGCGAGACGTATTTAAACATACAGCCGCTGTGTACACTCTAAAATGCCCTCTATGCCTCATTAACATCTTTTCAGTATCAGATTACTGGATGCCAGTGTGTGTAGTTTTACCGCTAATCCATATGCACAACCATCTCATCAAAATTTTTTAAGCACTTTTCTCTATGTGGATGTGTGTGTGGATGGTCAAATGAAAGCAGACTGCCCTATCTCTTACCGAAAAGACAAATCAATCTGATGTTCCCAACTCTTGCTTTTCAACAGTCGACAAAGTCGTAAAATCAAATTGAAATTTGTTTTTGGTAAATAAAATTTTGAATAAAAATAAATGCAGTTTTATTTCGCCGATGCGTTTCGTGTTATTTATTAAAATATTGAAACACTCATCAGGGCTCTGCATGTACAAATTTGAAAAGATAAAAGAAATTAAAAACAAAATGAAATCAATATTAGAACTAAAAAATGAAATTTAAGAAAAAGAATATTAAGTTTAAAATAAAACAAGACCATAATGATGAAAAGGACAGTGTTCTGCGAATGTTGTGCCTAGTCAAAATAAACTATCAACATTTCATTGTCTTGTTGTCCAACAGTTCATTTATTTCACATCTGACACACTTTCTGATAAACAGGGACTTTTTACTGAATTATATTCATGTAAATGAACAGTTTATATTTGTTTGACAGAAACCAGACCCAATGATTGTTTTGGATTCGTTTTATGATTGTATCAATAAACATTGGCTTACTGCTATGTATTGACCAAATAAAATTCTTAACTTTATCATTTTTTGAAACATGCAAAAAAGCTATGTAACTTTAATCATTTTCTATCTAATTTCTTGAGATAATTAAAGACTATTTAACTTTTAGACGTTTTCTAACAATTGTATAATATTTCTAACATTTCAATATATTTGTGAATTATTTCCTCGACTGAAGGGAGGGTCATACGAAATAAAATGCGTTTGTTTGCTTGCTTGATTGCTCAGGGTCATAGGTCAAAAAAACATTTCTCAGAGGTTAGCTCATCTTAAGGCTTTTCGAGGTTCTGATCGAACTTTGCTATACGTTATCGATGGTCCGGAATCCGAATCCGAAGTCCTTTTTTTTGGCCGAGCTTTCATTGATCTGGAACGGACCGATCAGAAACGAGCTTTTTTATTTTAAGACTATTCGGTGTTTTGGTGGAGCTTTGCAAAAGGTTATTAGGGGCCAGGAATGTAAATCCATTATCGGTTTTCAAAATTCCAAACTTTGAGTTAAGATAGTTAATGCTAGTTAAGTTTGGTTTGGATTAGTTAAGGGTAGTTAAGGATACTTAAGAGCAGTTAAATATAATTGAAACTAATTATAAATTCAGTTGACTGAAGTTAGTGGCATATGGAAAAGGTTACATAAATGTGTGCGCGTTTGCAGGCGATCAGATGCTCCGATATATTTCTGGAACGCTGGGTAAACTATGAATAAAGCCTATGCTGTCAACACTATTGTGAGCGAAGTACATTTTTTCTTACTTAGTTCTTATTCAACGGAGTTTCTGGATACTGGGATTTTAGCTAAGCAAATATTTCTCTAAGTTTCTTCCGTTCAATAAACTTTTTCTTGCTTCAAGTTTAACAAAACAGATATTTTGGTTATTAGAGTGTCGTTCCGGTGATATTTTCTCCTTTGGCTCTTCAGTATTCAGGTGTTTATCGCATCATGGTGTCGCCCAATCCTTTTTTCTGTGTTTTAAATACCAGCCTATATGCGTTTTTTAGTGTCTGTGTTTCGTCTTAGCAGTTTTCGATACAGAATTTATAGGCAACAATGGATTTTTTTCAGAAATAACTTTGATGCAATCGAAGGTTTCACATCTAGAAGTGAGTTACGTATATAATGTCAGTTGTCGTGTTTTTTCTGTGTTGAGTTTTGGTTCGTTTATGATGAGCAATCAATCCCATGTCCGCGCTGATATTTCAGAAGCATTGATATAGCGTATTTTATCCATACAGAGTTTCATGTTAGTTTTAGTGTTTGCAATTTCCAAGCAAAAGTTCTGTTACTAATAATTCAATAGTTTCTGTGAAAGGAGGGAAAGTACTATTTGGACAGATTGTAGATAAAGGGCGATAATGTGTATAGGAGTAGGTTTAGCATGGAAGCGGCTAGCCATGAGTGGTGTCCTGTAGGAGCGCCGACGAACGAGTAGCCGCTGATATCCATGTGTCACTGCAAATGTGTGGCAGAAAAGATGTGTACAGGATATAGTATATGTTTTGAGAATATCCTAATAAGATTCCGTTGAATAAGAATGGCAATATAACGGTGATTGTCGCGAGACCTCGAATTCTCCAAATAAGGAATATTTCACGACAAAATCTTCTCATATAAATCCAACAATTTCTCGAAATAAGCCGAATATGAATCGGCTAGATTGAAACAATGTTCGAGTGGCGCCAACTGAAAAAAGTTTCGTTCCAATTGAAGTCTATGAAGCAGTTGTGCTAAGAAAGTAAATTATTTGACAGTTTTTTTTGCGGAAAATATCGTTTAATTTATTTCTACGTAGTGAAGTAGTTTTCATGTTCTCTGTACTAAAGAAAGGATGGCATAGAAAAATGAGTTAGCTTCGTTGTTCTAAGCAATCAGTTGGGTCTCCACGATCATATTTCATGAGCATCGCTACAGGGCACTCTTTCCTTTGACCATTGAAGAATGACTCTAGTGTGTTAAATTTTCCTTTGACAAGGCCGGCGCTATTTATCGAAGAATTTTTAGCAGCAAGCGAAAAATGTATGAGTTGGGTTTGTAAATGAAAGTGTGGATGTGGGTATGGATTGAAAAAAGCTACACCCAAACCCACACCCACACCCCAAACCTGCTTAACGTTATCGTTATTTTAGTTAAAACTCAACTACTACCCAGTCAATTTTTGTTTTCGGCAGAATAAGTATCTACGTCTCTAATAAAAACTTTAGAAAGCGTTCCGAACATAAAGTACATCGAAACTTAACTTATTGTCCCCATTTGAAAGAGTGATCGAAACACTTCTTGGCTGTGTGTAGGCTGGTGGACGGCATGTGGCTCACAGTATCGAAAATCTCTTCCTGCAATCATGTGCAGGCGTTTCGGTCTAGGTGTTAGCGAGGACATGTTCAATGAATGATTCACCCACACCCTCGCACGGCTGCTCGAGCCGAAGAAAAGGCATGTATGGCACGGCCGCCTTCACTCCAGCCCCACACTCGCACCGTACACGACTCTGATTTATACATCCTGTGTGTTTTTTTTTCAATGTTGTATGTCTTGTATATCTTTATGTTAAAGTAAATATTATGTTTTTATATATAAAGTACAGTCATAGAAATTTTGAGCTTTGTCTATTTTTTTTTGATGAATCGAAAATATTAAAATAAATAATTGTTTTTTAATCATATGATCAGCATACAGAAGAAGTATCAGTGGTATCACTTCAAGTTAAAGAACATTTTAATTTGGATATAAAGGAGGGGGGCCGATAAGACTTCAAATTGGCCCATATCCAATTTCTAAAACTCCTATATATCATTCGATGTAGAATTTTATGCTGAGTCGTTTGGTAGTAATTTCAAGTCGCTTCGATC